AAGTTTTACCATTTCCAACTGATATCAATGTTAATGGGAAAATTATAATATGACTGAAAAAAGTCAAATAAAATGTAATATACTTTTGAATAAGCATAGAGTTATGCGAGAGATGCTTATTTTTTAATCTAATAGAAGAAAACAGTAATTAACTCATCATGCCCTGCTGACATTTTTAGTTGTACAAGCTTCCATGAAGTGTTTGATGACTGTATTATTAAATTTCACCAGTGAATGGAGTGTTCATTTTTTACCTTTTACCAATACTCTTACTTGTGGTCTGGTGGTGAAGGGGTCAGGATAATATGATAATCTTATATAGTACTCAATTTTAAAAATGCAATTATGTTTTGAGCTGAAATACCTAAACTGTTATTTCAGATTTGAAAAGATCATTACTTATGCCTATATACTTATGTGCTCTGAATGATCTTTATTTGCATCTCAAAATTAGCTGTAAATTAGAGCTAATAATCATTGAAATGTGAGAGGAAGCTGCAGAGTCCTAGCTGAGAGGTTACTCAGGAGAAAACTGGGTTGCTTTACCAGAGTCTATAATAGCATTTCTAAACCTTGGCACTATTGACATTTGAGACCAGATCATTCTTTGTTGTGGAGGGTTGCCTTATCCATTATAAAATGTTTAGTAGTATCCCTGGACTCAACCCACTAGATGCCAGTAGCATCCTCTCTCATAGTTGTGATGACCAAAGTATCTTCAGATATTGCTAATATTTCCTGGGGGTAAGAAGGAGCAAAAATATCTCTGGTTGGGAATCTCTGAGCTGAAATGTAGTCCTCATCTTTGCAGGTCTAGTACTTGCATTTTACTGCTGCAGTCAGAGAAACAAGTTTTCTGGAATTAAATTCACAAGAGACTGATACTTAACTCAGAATTCCATTTCATTAATGTCTAGAGAAATTTTGCTTTTTAATTTTTACTCCAGACTCATTATTGCTGTTTGAGGTTCCCCTCCTTTGGTGTCAAGACTTTGGGAAGTCAAAGGGATAATAAACAAATAGCATGGCAAACCTGGAATTGGAGCACACAACTCCTTGAGAGATGTTTTATTCATGCCATTATGGCATCTGATGGAATTCCTACACCCCAAACATAAAGGAATAATAATTATAATCAGGATGTTCTTGCATTCGGATACTGGACCCAAATTCCCTTTGTTAATATCATAATTTTACCACAATAATCAAACTCAATGCCCTCATTTGTAAGATAATAATATCAGTCCATTAACAAGAAAGAGGATTCATTACTATGTGTGAAGTGATTATAAGTTCTTAGAGTGCTCACTAAATAAGATAACTATTTTTTTTCTAAATAAACATATAACAGATTGTGGGGGATTTATATGCTTATGGTAAAGAATAATAATGCTATATAACCCACCAAGACCATCAACTAGAACTTTAAAAAAGTTTTTAATATAAAGACAACTTGAAGTTTACTAAACATTAGAAGCCCCCTTCCATGATTCATTTTCCAGATTACATGCCCCTCTCCCCACAAATGGAAAAAGTGTTCCTTCTTTTCTTTAAATTCCATTCTTTTAAAGCTAAAAGTAGAACAATATTGATTCTCAATTTATAGTTGGCAAAAACAAATGAACAATAAATATATGCTCTCTAGAGTGATTGCACCAGAGAGGCATTACATCCAAAATATTGATCTGAATCTGCATAATTGATTGTGAACTGCCGTTAAACACCTTTTTCATCATGCTTACACCTGTACGCTGATAATCACTGGTTCTAGTAAACACACACCCACACATGCACCTTCCCTCCATCTATGTAATACACTCATTTGTGTGTGCAAACACACACCAGTTTCCACAGCATACTAAAGCATTTTGGTGGTTGCTTGTAACAGAGCATAATCAGAATTTCCTTCAACACTCCATAGAATTATATGTCTTTTTATGTGTATGCTCCTTAATACTTGAATATTAGATTGACTGGTGGTAGTATTTAAGCCAGTCAATAGACATGCAGGAACTGTCTGTCATAATAGTTTGCTAAAGAACTTAAGGTGTGAAATAAGAAAAAGTAGACTTTAAATAAAAATGAGAATCTTAAAAAACAAAAAGCTACCTTAGGCAAGTTCTTGGGAAGGGCATTTGAGAACAAATATGTTCAGGCAGAATAAGCTTTATAAGATTTTAGGTGACTCTAGATAATTATTTAGCTAATTTAATTTAAATTAAATTGCCTACTATTAATTAAAACATTTGGGACAATAACCCTGCATAATTTTAAATTACTGATATATGTTAAATATTAAACATGAGATAAATATTTTTTTAATTAGAGAAAAATGGAAACAGCTTAATAATTGTATAAAATAAAGAACGAGTACTTTAAAGATTGCACAGAATGAAGAAACTGCTAAAAGAATTAAACATGTATGGATTTCGTGGTAAACATAAAACTATTCTTATACTTTCTCTCGTTTTATTTTTTAATATTAAAAACAATGCATGTGATTCACATAAAAGGATACATAAATATGTGTATATTTTATATATCCTTGTATATATATATAGATATATATATGTATATGCACATATATAGATATATTTATATATGAAATATCATAACTGGAAACCTGTGAATGCGCTACCTGTCCAAGAATTAAATCATTGTCAACTTCATCATATCAAACTGTGTAATTGTCTTTTATCCTGATTCTGCCTTTCTCCAGAGGTAACAACAATCCTGAATTTTGTGATTTTTATTTTTCAAAAAATTGTTTTTAAAACTCACATATGTCCCTAAACAACATACCTTATTAATTAGTTTGCATTTTAAGATTCTCAAAACTTTCAACATGTTATATACTCTTTTATAACTTGATGGTTTTCCCAAAATTTTGTTTCTAAGATCCAATCATTTTGTTGGATTACTGTGGTTCCTTTTGACTGGTGTATATATTATTCTATTGTGAAAAATACAATATTTCATTTTTCTGTTCTTTGGCCATTGGATATATAGGCTGTTAACAATTTTTTGCTATTTTTAGCAGTGTTACTAGAAATTGTGCTTGTTTCCTGGTATGAAAATGGAATTTTCTCTAGCTCAGTACTTTTTTCTTTTCATGGTACACAAAAAATACTAGTATCTGTATATCACTCTTTAGTTAGAAGACGAAGCTTCTTAGGAGCAGTGGTTCATCATAGAAAAGGGAAGTTCTACATAGGAGGACATATATATCATAGAACTGGTGAAATGTAGACATGCAAAAGTTCAAATATAAAACTAATGACAGAGTGTTTTTTTTTTTTTTTTGAGTTGGAGTCTCACTCTGTCATCCTGACTGGAGTGCAGTGGCCTCTCCTGGGCTCCGGCGATCCTTCTGCCTCAGTCTTCCAAGTAGCTGGAACGACAGGCGCGCGCTACCACGCCCGGCTACAGAGTGTTTTTTTAAACAGTAGTTTGTCAAGTTAATATTTCCACTAGCTATGTGTTTGAGCTTCTTTTGGCCCACATTCTCTTCTTCTCATGTCTTGCTACTCTACTACCTGTACATTATAATCCAATTGTAGTCTTGATTTACATCTGTTTTTTTTCCTTTATTTGAAAATGCAGTTTCAGATTTAATACTTTGAAGATCTAAAAACAAAGAAATGATATAATTTTCCAGAACTGAATCTGTAGATAAAGTTCTAAGTGTGAATTCTTCAGGCATAAACTTCTTCCAGGTTTCCTTTGTTCGGTCCCAGGCTTCCCCTGTCATTCAGATGTCCTGCATTGAGGTCACTTTTTGCCACTCCTTTGAGGTGGATAATCCCAGGGATCTATCTTCGTTTGGTTCTCTTCACATTCTTCTCTGTACCGTCTCCATTACAGCCAATACTTCAACTAACATCTATAAACTGATGATGCTGGGTATATAATCTACCCCAGCCTCTCTCTAAAGCTCTCAACTGCATTCTTGAAACTTCCCTGAGAAGTTTCTTAGGCAGCTCAAACGCGACATGTCCAAAAGTGAACTGGTCGCTATCTGTTTCTCTTTTATTACCTATTTCAGGAAATGGCATCACTACCTATTGGTTGTCCAGACCAGAAATTGATTTACATCTGTTTTTACTGATAAGTTTGAGGATCAATTTATACAGAGTCTGTATTGTGAAGTCTCTGGTTGTGCCTTGTGTCATTTCTTTCTTTTTTTTTTTAAAGTGTGTTTTCTGCAGCTATAAAAAAGAACAAAATCATGAATTTTGCAGTAACCTGGATGGAACTAGAGTCTATAATACTGAGTGATCTTTCACAGCAACAAAGA